CTATACCCGTGCCCGAATTCGCGTGACTCAGATGAAGGGAAAAGAGACAGGACACGGTGAGACCCCGTATACACATACGGAAGAAGGGCGGAGAGGAGGAGAGGACGAGTCGGCAGCTGTGTGTGAAGGTAAGAAAGCTGCTGATGCCGCTGCGAGAGAGTCTCGCGTGTAAGAAGTCTCAGCGACACGTCGCGGTAGTATCCGCATAGCACTCTGGGCCGCATGCGTGAAATGAGTTCTTAACGCGAATGAGATTTTTCGTAAAAAGGTGTGTAATACGTTATTAAAACAAGACCGAGGGCGGGGCATTTATTACTCGGTAATAGGCAAGTCGGCGAAACGAGTCCGCTCCGCCGAAGATGGCGGAGCCCCTCGAGAACGGATTCGCGGTTTACAGGATGTATCTAAAAGTATGTTACGAATTTTAAGGGCGTATTCTAGGGGTCAAAATAAGAGAAGTTCCTATAAACATGAGTCCAAAAATGCCTTCCCTCCGAGTTATAGCTCCCTAAAGTTGGGGGAAAAAGGATCGTTGAAATTTTGCACAGCGTAATAATTAATAGTGACTTCGATAGTGACAATTTAGTTTGACAATTTAATCCGATTTTGAGGGGGAGATATGGAGGAGGGTGCTAATTTTCAAATGGCCATACAATAAGTTGCCTATGTTCCGGCCGATGTTCCGAATCCGAACATTCTCAATTCTTTTTTCTCCGTTTTTCTCGGAAACAACTGGTCTGACAAAGCATTTTAAGAATAAGATTTTTGAACGTTTTTTCTCCCGATGATAAATCAAATGGTCTCATTAATTTTTCGATACGACGAAAAATAAAAGGATATGGCCATTTGAAAATTAGCTTGAAAACCCCGCTCCATATCTCTCCTTCAAAATCAGACTAAATTGTCAAAACCATGTAAAAATGAAGGTCACTATCGAGGTCACTATTAATTATTACGCTGTGCAAAATTTCAACGATCTTTTTCCCCCCAACTTTAGGGGGCTATAAATCGGAGAGAAAGGATTTTTGGACTCATGTTTATAGGAACTTCTTTCCTTATTTTGACCCCTAGAATACGCCCTTAAAATCTATAACATACATGTACTTTTAGATAGATTAGACTCTGTATATCTTATTTACTGAACTATTCTCACTGAACTGTTCTGTCACATAACAATGCATAATGAAACGTATGAAAATTCTGTCATTGGTTATTCGTCATTTTTGAGAATATATCTATCCTCTGATTCAAGCAGGAATGATATAGTACATTATACTATATTACATAATGGGTTTAATCCTGCCGAGTTACGCCATATATAAGTAGCAGCTCGTGCTTTCTGAACTTGCGTCATCCGTCGGTCGGAGAACGGTACGGATAAAAAATGCGAGTCTCGTAGAAGCATACAGATGTACGAAGGAGCAAAGTGTGATTTACGTTTCGCCAAGAGATATTCCCTGTACGCAATAGTTTTCGTCACTTCTCGGAACGATGTCAGATTTTATCTTGATCTCTCCGATATGATAGATGATATCAGATCACTTTTCTTGATATATTTCCTTGATATATTGAATCCAGGATAAAATAAAAGTCTACAGCATTGCAGCAATAGCGTTCAAGAACTACCAGTGTTTGATGTATCACAACTGATAACACGCTGTATCGCCAATAACCGTGATGTGTTGCGTGTCGTCCAAGCGTTTCGATCACCAGCAAACCCGTTTTCGGCGTACATTCGTCTCGACGATATCGGTTTACGATGTGTGCCGGAGTGCAGCGAAGGAATCCCCTTCGTCGCGAAATCTCGTCCGCGAGGCCGTTGATCCTCCTCCGATCGTAACGTCACAATACAATCGATATCAGTAGTCGTTGTAACTGCCGTTGTTTCTGCCCGTGGTGATATCGCTGATGTCTCGCGATCAGATAGCGTTCACGAAGAGCAGGTTCTTCAGATAAGAGGGGGACGTGACGTCTGTACGTGTGTGTACATACGCGTCATCCGTCAGGATAGGAAAGGGTGGATGGCGACACGGAAATTGGTAACGATCGCAGAACATTATTGTTCCGGTCCGGCTTATCATACAACCGGCAATTTATGTATTTTGTGGCCCGCAATTGGATTACAAAACGCGCGCGATCGATCAGTGCTCGTGTCACGTTGCGTTCGCTCGGAGAAAGTATATTGTTGCATCTGTATATGCGATTTAAAATGCTAGTTTGGATCCTTGAGTAAAATTGCGCCAATTTGGGTAGACACATAGATAAAATTGGATAAACCCATTCAGGTAGATATATTCGGTAGACACATTTGGGTAGATATATTTGATAAATGTGTTGGGATAGTCACATAATTAAAATTAAAGATTCCTCCTCTGGTTAATTGTTACTAAATTAGGACCTGCAGTTAAAGAATTCAGTTAAAGAATACATAAGAGTCTACAGAGATACTCACATTATAGTATACTTAGGTCTGTGTTATGTAACATCTCTAGTTGCGCTTTAGCTTACATTGGCGTTTTAGCTTGTATTGGTGACGAATATTTATTGGATTTCTCAATTCTATTTCACTGGTAATTTGGAAGAATCCAACTCAAACCAATAACTTGGATTAGTCTGTGTCCGATTGGTATGTGCCCAATTAGGACAATCCTATTGCACCTGTCACACCTTCTTGATGAAATGATACTAAGCTACATCATCGTCATTATCATTGTCATCGTTATTATCATCATCATCACTCGATCATAGAGAAATGTCAGCCACTTCTCTGGAACTTGACAGACTCGGTCGATCGTTTCGCGCGTTTCCATCGATGCGTCTCTCCGAACAGATACGCGTCACGTACGTAGGTATCGCGGACTTGCGGCGGCAAGGAGGACGCGGTGTCGTAGAGGAAGAAGGAAAAGCACATCGGGAGTAGGTGGAATCTCGAGGCGCGCGCGATGGTATCGTTCAGCCGATGGTTCCGCGGTGTTAAGGTCGGTAGCGCCATGCTGGCACCGTGATTGGTCCTTTTGGCCTACTTGTAGGCGTGGCGAGAGGTGCGGGTGGGGGTCAGAGTGGTGACCCAGCGTCTCGGTGGGTAGAAGCCGGCGGCCGGTCTCCTGGTCGACCCATGAAGGTTACTCCTCTACTGGGCCCACCACCACTGGCCTGCACCTCCACTCTCCGATCTATGCCACGCTCTCCTGACTTATGCTACGCCCGGCAGGTCCGCCAGTACACGATACGCTTCTACGAAGCGAGCACCGCATCGTCCGCGCTCGCTCCGCTACCGCGCCTGCCAGCACGAGGGTTCTGCCACCTACCTGTCTGCCTGCCTACCCAACTACTACTACACCTATCGTGTTTCGCGTTCGCTAGGTCTTACAGTGTAATCAAGCGTAGCGCGACTCCTACGAAGGATCGCAGATCTACGACACGGGTCTCCGACGACTCGCGACTGAGCAGGTTCGGTGGTTCACGCATAATCGACTCACCCCGACGGGCATCACGGTGAAGGAAGAAGACCCCGGGAGTAGGGGAAGAGAGACCTTCTTTCTCTCCCGTTCGTGACAAACCGGAAGGGAGGGACCGACCTCGAGGAAGAAGGGAGGGAGCGAGTGCGATCGTTCGCGCGAGAGAGGGACGTGCGGGTCAGTTTGGAACGTGCACACGTGACGCGATCGAATCGGAAAGTCTTCGGAGTGATAACCACCTCGCACCGGCGAATCCTCTACGGAACCCCGCCGTCGCAGTGACACCCCCCGAGCTAGATGCCTCGGGTGCCTTGGTCATCGCGGTAGATACACACCGAGGTTACGTGTGTCACGTGACCGTCGTGGAATCAGGTGACAATATTACCGAGTGGTCTCGGTCGTCGACAGGGTGCGGGGTGCTGGTGCTAATCCAAGCAGTGAGAGTGAAATTTACGTGGATCTGCAGTGAGGATAAGATAACGCGCAAATCCTTTATGGGACCGGAGGATGGAACGAACGTCTCGTTTCCTTCCTAGGTCAGAGGTGTTTCCGTGCCGTTGTTCAAGCATTGACGCGGCACCGTCAGGACTGTGTTACCGTTGTTGACGTTGCTGACGATTTCCATCCAGTGTTGATCGCGACGTACCGTTGACTCAAACTCGACTGAATCGTCCGTCAAGCCGGAGAAACGGTGAATGACTAGCGCTCGTGACCGAGTGGGTCGCGCCGCGCCGTGCCGCGCCGCGATTTGCCAGTGACAGTGACTTGTCCCGCGAATGAGAACGACGGGTGGAAAGATGGTCTCGTTTGACGCGAAGTGTATTGCCGCGGGTTTTATGTTAACGTTGAAGACAGTACCGCCCGGTCGACGGCCTAGTCGGACCGAGCCCGAAGCTTTCTTGATCACGCCAGGTATCCCCCCACGCGATGTTCCGTGAAACCTAAAAGAGTAGAACGTAACGGCTTTAGCCGGACTCTCTGAGAACGGCCGAACAATCTGCCTCCGTCGATCTGCGACCCGGCGCGAATCGCTAGGAAAGACGCGCTCCAAGTCTCGATTCACTGATTCCCCGCGTCCAAAGGTCCCCGACGTCCACGGTGGACACGCGAACATCGCCTGCCCGGTGGTGGTCGCTTCGACGCCGCTCGGCAGGGCGAATTTGCAGCGGCAACAGCTGTCGCAGCTGCCGCGTCGTAATCGGCCGCGCGTACGGTGTCATCAGGAGCAAGTGCTGACCGACGCAAGCAGCTGGTGGTAGTGGCACCGACGGTGACAGAGGATGACGTAGCGTCGTCGCTAGAGGCAAGGGTCGTCACGGTCTGCACGGTGTACGCGCTGGACAGAGCCGCCTCGGCGGGGCTGGGGGTGGTCGGGGGTGGTGTCGTCGGTGTCGGTGGCGGCGGTGGTGGCGGCGGCGGCGGCGGCGGCGGCGGCGGCGTCGTCGTCAGCGGCGGCGGCGGCGGCGGCGGCGGCGGCGGCGGCAGCGGCGGCGGCGGCGGCGGCGGCGGCGGCGGCGGCAACGGTGGTGGCGGTGGCGGCGGTGGTACCGGCGGCGGTGGTGCCGCTGGCGGTGGTGCACCTGGGGTGGTCGCCGGGATCTGTGGACCGCCGAACGCGTCTCTCGCGCCGACGGATTACGTGACGGCGGCATGCTATCCCACGGGAACGCAGCTCACCCTGACCGCCACTCACCCTCAGCCCCACGTCGTTGATCCCGCGATGACGCCCACCTCGGCACCGGTGCCGACACCGACGTCGGCGTCGGGCCCCAATAACCCCGTCGCCATGAGTCAGCTGGGGACCGTCTACGCCACCAAGAGACGGCGTCGGAACGGAAAGAGGTCGGTGCGAGTCCGTTAAATCGATACAACGCGCTCGGTACGCGCGAGAACGACCGGCGTAATCGCTCCTCCGCGACTTACGAATGTTAGGAGGAATAACTATGCGCGTGGATGCAGGACGTTTCAGTCCTCTTCACAATTGTACAGCGATTGTTGTTGATGTATGTTGTACATGGTCATTTTCCACTGTCCTTTCGAATTTCGGTGATGCAATGCGAACGATCGCACGTGGCTTACGCATCGTGGAGATGTATCGTGCTGACTAAATATATCATTATTTATCGTTGACATTAAAATAGTTTGTTGTTCAAATTACTATTATACTAGTTGATACTAGTGTATCAAACTATCAGCATGAACAATGTCGCCCGGGGCGAGACACGGGTCGTTCTCGAGTTGGTAATCCGCACCAGTCGTGTTGCGACATGAGGATTTGCAGGCGTTGAAGGGGGGAGTTTTGGTACAGCGAAGTTTCAAGACCAAAGTTGCAACGAAAAGTTTTGTACGTCGCAATTAGTTTTTCACGCGTTCGACGGATTACGACGGGGTGACGTGACGGACGGACGGACTATAGGATTAACCTGGGAAATGCGCTCGCGCGCACTAAAGTATCGTGGTTTCAGACGCATATATAATTCACGCTTCTGAACGCCGTGCTAATAGGAACGACACGCGGAACAACGTGCGACTGCTCGCACGTTGAAGTTGTGCGTTCGCTCGTAAAGTCAATGTCGACGACCGATTCGCAAGACCGATATTCTCCAGTTCATTCAGATAAGCGTTTTCGCGCGCGAAGCACAAGCGCGTTTTCGCCTTATTAACCGGTTACGCTAGGCCCATTATTATAAACTTTTGTTATTGATTCCTCGGATAACAAGTCCGCCTCCCGCTGTCGATTAGTTTAAAATATTGTTTTCTCGAATCAGCCGGCAACAGGAAGACCCTCAACTGTAGAAACACAAAAATGTCTGCAAATCTTTGCATAGACAATTAACCGTAATTGTTTTCAGTTATCTCGAGCATTTTAGTTATATAACTGAGTTTTAGCACAGTCGAATATACAGACGAATGTCCTTGGTCGTGATAACAGAGATATCTTTCGTCACCGAGTCTTCGTCCGTTACCTCCTCTCATTCAGTTACCAACTGAAAGTGAGATTTTATTCTCCGTGTGATAACAATGTATTAACAGGCTTATCCGATTGCTATATAATATCATCATATCAGAGACTTCTATTCACAAATATCTTCGTCGTTACATGATTCATATTTTATGAATCATTGATTTCGATATTTGTTCTATTGATAAAGATTTTTTTTATCGTTGCCCAAAGCTTTTTCTTTGGGAGGAATTCCTTTCCGTTTTCCTCCCGAAAGCTCTGATTATCGAAACGAAGCGGCATTCACTGACTCTGCGATTAAAGCGGCAGCTTTGTTGTAAAGAGAGATAATGCCCAGTATATGCTAGATGGCTTTCAGTAGGCTACAATAGACAGCGCAACGTGAAAGATCGTTACGTTCGTAATGTTGCGACTGATGACCGACGAAATTGCAAGTGCACAGGTCGTCGTGGTGCATTGTTGCCCGTGTGTACGCGACGTGTATTAGGTAGTAGAAACCGGCGAACGATCGTTTGCGATTTGTCAGGCTGGGGAGAAAGAGCGATATGCGCTTATGTAGACACACACACTAACAATAACAGCCGGAATGAGACGTCTCGATCGCGTGTTCACTCGTTCTGAAAACACGTGTATCGAGCTATTTTTCTCCTTCGCGTCAAAGCGGTACGATGTCTCCCATCTTGCACGGTACCTTCCGTCTCACGCCAATTTAGTTTTCTCGGGTGCCTGTCTGACGAGGAAACCCTAATCCGATGAAAACTCCCATATCTGCTTGGACACGCGTTCTCGTTACGGACTGATCACCTAAACTGCGGCGTCTATATCGATTCGACGTGATATATCACGTCGAAGACAAATCTCGTTCGGATGTGGCCTGACTTCTCTTCTGGAGAATTTGTCGTCGTAACATTTTATCGCAGAACTCTGAGATCGCGAGACATTAATAGCATAGTTCTCTAGTTAAGTACATAACACGTTTCTATTCCTGTGAAGTGTAACGAAGATACTTTTTTTGGAACTTGTTGACTCTTGTTGAAGTCGTCCGTTGATGCCGTGATGCTTCACAGCGTTCAGCATTCCGACGCGGTCGGAGCGCTACGAGTTGAATTGATGATAGATGCTCCGAAAGTTTCGTTACTTTTAATCGAGCTCGCGTGCGTTAATGGAATTAAGATTGGCAGCGCACTTACGTAGGAATGCAGTTCCGCTGTTGTTCCGTTGAGGGTTTCGGCGGCTCGATCAGACGCGAGAGAAACTGCATGTGAGCAGAGCGAACTCGCGAAAACTAGGTGCAAGTGAGGGAAAAAGGAGAAAAAACACACACCGGTCAAAAAGAGAGGGGAGACGAGTTCCGAGCTTCCTTCTGGACTTACTCCATTCATTCTGCGAGAACACTCTTCCCGCGTTTGTTCGCCTCGAATATCGCCGTGTCTGCACAAGCGGACGCAATTTATTTCCGTCGGTGCGGCACGAACGTACATGTGTACGGCCGTCCTCGGCGAGGCATCGAGCGGCCGAGTGTGTCTAATTTTTCGCGAACACTGGTCGCGCCGCCGATCGAAGATTCCACGAGGGCCGTAAGGGTCGCGCCGTCGGCTTTGATCGCGAACGATACGACAGTACGTCCCTCACACGTGGAGTAAGTCGAGCATCCGCGTAAAGAGGGAGGGAGGGAGGGAGGGAGGGGGAGTTTCTTCGTCGTTCCCTCTCGTCGCGCGCCGCTTGAGAAATTAAGGCAATCTGCGCCAATCGGGTAAGCCCTTAATCCGCTCGCGACGATCTCGCATGCTCTCCAGGTGCTTCTTCTCCTTTTTTCCGCCCGCAAGCACGCGCTCCATTGCTTCGCGTGCGCCAACATGTACGAGTGTCTACGTGTGTGTGTGTGTGTGTGTATGTTGGATGTACGCGAGTGCGTACATCCCGCGCGAGTCGCGAAGGGGTTGCTGCCGAGTCTCGCGGCTGCACGGGCTCGCGCATCCGATACATCATGAAAAAGGGAAGACGCGCCTAGGGTAGTCGGCCGCTAAGCCGACAGAGACGGAACGGCCCGGCTGATTACGAAGAAGCGGAAGACTCAAATCCCGCGCCGCACGTACGAGAGTCTCTCGCAAGTTCCGAAGCCGCGCGCGCGAGCGCGTCTTCCGCAACCTTGTTAACCTCGGAATGGATCGCTCGCAAACGGTGCTTCGCGCCTTGCGCTTCCAAATGTAGCGCGCGCGTGCGGACTTCGCGAGACTCGCCAACGACTCAAGGCGAACGTGTGCGAAGGCTAGCCACTGATACGTATACGGGGTAGACTGTTTTATAACTTCAACTACTTGCTTGGTGCGCGTCCGTTGGCGCGTCGTCTCGTGTGCCCACTTGAATGTCTTCATAAAGTATCGCGGCGCAGCGGGCGTGATTTATCTGCTGAATTAATTTTTGAAGGCCGCCTCTCCTGCCCCCCCCCCCCCCCTCTCTCTCTCTCTCTCTCTCTCTTTCTTTCTTTCCGTGCGCTACGGGATTTTTTATTAGTGTATCTCGCGTTTTCTTTCTCGTCTCTTTTCCTTTCTCGAGTGCAGTAAAGTGCAATTTATGTCGCGCGCGTGCGTGCGAGAGGAGGGCGCCGATCGTAAAGCGTTTCGTAAACTTTATGTAAAGTGAAGAAGAGGCTCGTTCATGAGCTCGTGCTCTTGTTAATCGTGCCTGTCGATCGTAGTTACACGTCGATTTTAGTACTTTACGATTATCCGGGGCGATCTTTACGGGAAGATCCGCACTGAATACTTCCGAGATTGCGATCGCTTCTCTCTGTCCTTTATCGGTATACATGATGACACGTCTGACACGAGTGAACTTACGTTCACATAGTGGTTACTATTTAAGAATCCCGTGCGTTCTCATTGAGATACATACCTCTTTAATGATGCCGATTCCCTCGTACTCGTCGAAAAAGTGTGTAAACGATACGCGCGCGCGCGCTCGGTGATCGCGGGCCCGCGAGGCGAGGACCCCGCACAGACCCGACAGGCGTCAATTCCTCGACGTTTGAAGGCGGCTCTTCCTCCCCCGTAGCTTCGGGAACGTGTCACGTTGAGTAATCGGTCGGACCCTTTTCCAGCTCACGTAGAGCCTTCCACGGTGAGGAGCGTACCCCGTGATCGCGAGGATCACGAACGGTCGTAATGGAGTTTTAAACGGTCGTTCGAGGCATACGGGCAACGATCGGCGATCTTCCTCTCATTCCTTCCCCTCGGGTCGCCTTTGATAGGATACGAGGAGGGTGAGGGAGGGAGGGAGGCGGGTAGGCGAAGGGCGCGAGATGGGGGACGACGGCTCTCTTTCTCTCCCTCTGCCTCTCCCTCTCCCTCTTACTCTCACTCTCTCTCCTGGAGAATGCCCGGAGGGTGGTCAGTCTGGTTCGTTCGCCGCTTCTTCCACAGCTTCTTCGACTCCTTAGGATTCTACGGTCGGCAGAGTCCTTCCCTCGGGCTCCGTTTGGTCCTAGGCGAATGCACCTTAGCGGACGACGCACAAGCATCATTCCGCAAATTCCGCTGCGGCCGACGCGCACCACCAGTCGCGGATACGCGAATAGGTCACAGAGGACTATCGACGATTCTCGTTCGGGGAAGCTTGCATGCAGCGGAGATATATTTGCTTCCATTCGTCGTATTTGATCACTCGGTCATGCGATCATCACTTAGATACAGCGGCACCGTGGAGACAAACGTTTGACGCAAGCTATGCATGCAAGAATCGTAAAATTATGGGAGTCTCGAAGTCGCGTATCATGCCGGATGGCTTAGGTGGGTCGCTTATCGAAAAGTTCGGTTATCAGTTCAGCGCGTTGTACACTAATTAGTACCTTCTTCACAAAGTCCCATATACTTTGCCTCGC